GTGGAGGAGAGGCCAGGTGTCCCAGCCCCCGAGCTGAGCCCGGCCCCAGCCTGCCCCTGGTTGAATGCAGGCACAGGAGTACCACTGACATGGCCATCAAAAGTCCAGCTAAATTGTGGTATTGTGAGTAAATAAAATGACTGCTGTTTTAAGCCACTGAGTCTTGGGATGTCTTCTGCATAATCATAGATAAATGAAGCTTTTCTACTTTTATCTATTACTAACTTTCCCTAAATCTGACAGAGATCCTACTTAAGGTTTCTAAATGGAATTTTCTCACAATCCCCTTTGCCACACCAACTTCTGCTGTAAGTTCTTAACCTGTCAGGGTTGTCATATACAGTTGTATGTGTTGTGCACTGCACCAGGGTACCCCACTGAAGGAGCCAGTGAGGACTGCTTGCCTGGCTTAGAGGGGGCATGATTTCTGAATCATGTTGCTATGCCTCTGACAGAGAATATTCAGTCAAATCAAGTCCAAAGATGTTGACCTGGCTTCCAAGCCTCCTTTAACTGCCTGATACCACCTTGACTCACGCCTCCAACTTTCTCCACCCTAGTCTCGCATTACTCAGTTCCAGTCTCAGCCCAGCTGAGTCACCCTACCTCCCGCCCTCCAACACGCCCATTGTTCCTTCCATCAGACCAGGGCTGTGACTTCGAGGGCAGCCATCTCTCTGTGTCCTCTGGCGCCAGGATGTTTTCAGTCTTGTAAATTTCAGAGGAGCTGATGTTTACTTACAGGCACACTTTTTAGGGATTTCTAAGCATGAAAAAGTAAGAAAGAATGGTGAAGCCATCTGCTGTTATTCCAGTTCCTTCTCCCTGCATGAAGGACCAAGCCAAGGAGACAGGAGTTACTCTGCTCCTGGGGAGAACTCTGCTCCGTTGGACAGAGGTCCAGGGGCACAGGACACTGCATCTGAGCCAGAGAAGCCAGACTCCAGGGGAATCTCTTTTCCTCACAGTTTGCAGCACCACCAGAAGGCGGAATGTTCCAGTACGCTGTGCAAATGGACCAGCGTGACATGGGATACACGTTGTCGAATTTTGTAATCTTATCCTCCATTAAATATTTAGCACAGACGATTCGATCTCTTCCTTTCCTCAGCTTCCCCCTTCTTCCTCTGCATCCCCTCCCCCACCCCTCCCTTCATGCCTCTTCTCCACTTTACCTGCCTTCTGGGAAGTGCAGACTCAGAGTCGCTTTTCTGTCAGGGACACAGCCAAGGGGATTTCTAGACACGGGGCAAGTGCATAGATTGTTCTCTTTGACTCTGGGTTCTTTCTAGAAAGTGCAGTTGCAGCCTGGTAGGGCTGAAGTAGCAACTACTTTGAGATGTGTGTCTCACCGAGAGCATCTCTCGTTATGCCGCCAGTAGTCACCGTGCCCACCTGTGGGGCAGGGAAGTGGTTATGTGCTGGCTCGCCCGACTGCATGCTGGAAGGGGATGGCAGGCCTGGCCATGTGCCCTCTAAGCAAGTGGGCTGCTCAGGGCAGCTAGCATCTCAGGGAAGCTCAGCCTCATTCAGGGCACCGGGGAAGCCTAGTGATGTCTAAGCTCATCGCTATTAAGGCTGGTCCACCTGAGCCTCTGATCTCTACAAACATTGAAAGATAAGAGGCCTGGATGCAAAATATTTGCCTGGGACAATAGCTTGGCAACTGGGAGCTGCAAAATAGAAGTAATCGTAGTAATATTTTTATATTATTATAAAAATAATAATTGCTACTTTTAATTGAGCAGATCTGACCCGTTAGTGCTCCTCTGTATTTTATCATTTAATCATGACAAAAACTCTGTAAAACAGGTAACGCCTACTTTTACTGATGAGCTCGCCAGAGCTCAGAGTTTAGGTAACTTTCCCAGGCTGCTAGGTGGCAGACCTGGGACGCAGTCCCCAAGTGAGTGAGGTCCACGGTCTCATTCTTCCCCACACCGGGCCGTGAGCATCACTGCAGCTCCAGCAGCACAGGCGGTGCTCGCCTGGGAGCAGACAGAAGCTTAAGCCTTCTCCTCCAGGCTCCCCCACAGCTGCCATCTCCTGGCATTGCTACAGGGCGCATCCTCTGGACTGCTGTGCTCTGCCCTGGGATTCTGCCCTCTGGGTTTGAAAAATTCTGGAATGAATCAAGTTTGTTATGGAGAGTCTCCTTAGGCTGAGTGTCCAGGGTCCTTGTCAAGCCTTAAGGCTCTTGCTAGCTTTGCAAGGAACAGGTCGGGTCTGTGCCGGGTGAGGAGCCCAGCTCCAAGAGCAGCCAGCTCCTGCCCAGGCTAAAGCCGGGCTGGTGTAGACGGGCTGGGCTGGGGGTGAGGACGCAGGCCCTGTGTTCCCCACGATGCAAGCAAAGAGTCAGGTCTGCGGGGCCTAATTTGGGATTTGATGGGCATTTGTCGTGTCCTCAAAACACACTTTTTAAGACCACAAGGTGATTTCCCACCCATTCCTTCCAGTGAGGCCATAAGAAAATCTCCACATGGTACGAAGGTGGTTCCCACTTGGGAAGCATTTTCCTGAGCAGAGATGACAAGTGGTTTTGCAGGGACCCTGTCGGTGGGAGCGCAGAGAGGGTGGCTTCGGGGGCTGGTCTGGGACGGGAGGTGGAGAGTCAGCGGACTGGGCTGTGGCAGCTGCTGCCACCGTCCTGCTCCTTAGCATTCGTGACGCGCTGGGCAAGTGATGTCACTATGACTTTCTCTCAAATTTCCTCCCAAGTCTGGCCCTCAGGAAGAATCCAGCACCCTGCTGGTCGGCAAAGAGGGGAGGAGGCTATACGTGAGAATAGAGGTTAGACTCCTGTGACCTTCTGGATGCACTGTTAGACTTCATTTTTTATCTATTTAAACTGTTTCTCAATTCATGTGGAATAAGACATAAGCCCACTGGCACAGGCTACTAAGAAAGGCTGTGTGGCCTCAGACCCTGGATGCCTCAGGGAAGAAATTCTATCAGCCCTCGTTCATTCTGGGTGCTTTGATACTGTGTCTGTGTGAAGCCAGAGAGATGGGCTGAAGCCAGAGAAACAGAGACCCCCTTCTACCCTCACCCCCACTGCAGGAGACTTCAGAGCGGGTGACTATGCTGCCAGAGCACGAGGGGCAGTGGGACCAGCCTCTGGCTCGAAGCCAGAGCTCTGGGTCTGAGGACTGGTTTCTCACTCACCCGATTTAGACCTTAGACAAGTCTGCCAGCTTCTCCAGGCTCGTCTTCTCATTTGTGAATTGAGGACCAATAATAATGATGATGAAAATGATGCTTCTCTCTCAACCCAAGGATTCAGTAAGTTAACATACATGGAACCGCTTCATCAGCCCTAAAGCGCTCTGCAAATGTAAAGTGTAAACGCTTCTACACACCGGGGACCATCTCACCACTGTGCCCCGGAGAATGTCGCATGCAGAGGATGCGTTCAACCAGAAGACATTTATAATGTCCTTTTCTAGCTATGTTTTAAAAGGCATGATTATTATTCTAGAGCAAGATAGAAACATTAAAAAAATTTTGTATCATAGATCTCTTTGAATATCTGATAAAACCACACTTTCTTTCTCAAACAAAAAAATCAACCAGCAAATGTAAACCATGGTAATACATACATCTCATAATATTTTTCTACAGTTTCTGAGGGCTCATTGTTGCCACCCAGCTTAAGAAAATGCCTATGGCTGGAGATTTTCAGGTTTCAGCTCTCTGAGTGAAGTCTGGGAGAGAAAGGGACTGTGCAGCAAAATGAGTGCAATAATGATGTTTAGCATTTCCCTGGGAAAAATCCTAGCGGGAACATCCCTGAAATTCTAATGTACTCAAAGGATGCTCTTGAAAAAATAGTTTGTGTCTGATTATAGTGAGTCTATTGGAATGAAAATATGCTCATGCTAACGAATCTGCCCCACATAGGTGGTCACCCTCAGCTCCCTGAGGCTTTTGTGCAGAAAGTTGTGGTCCCGATATCTGAATCCTCCCCCTCTCCACAATGGGCTGCTATCCGGTAACGGCAGCGAGGTCCAGTTACGGCAGGGAGAGGCGCCTCCAGGGCACTCCGATGCTGCTCAGAGTCCAGCTTAACCGGGATCTGAGGGTCTCCTGCCAACGGCCCTGGCTGTGTCCACCCGGGTCCATCTCTGGGGACTGGATTTTAACCTCAAGCAACACGCTGTACTTGGCTTAGCGGTGTCTTTGCAAAGCAGGATTTCATTTGGAGACAGGGAGTTCAGGACCAGGGCCAGCTCAGCCGAGGTGGAAACATAAACAGTCACACCAAGAGCAAGTCCGATCAAGTGAGCCCACATCCAGAAACGGAAAAGGAAAGAACATAGCTGAGCAGGATATGTGATGTCATGCTTTCCCCATCCAGCTGGAGCCTTCGATGGAAGAGCTGGGAAGGTATTCGCTCTAAATGGTGCATAAAGCCAGTCAGGGAGAGAGATTTTAAGCTCACAGTGCACTTCTTCACACCCTCAGGTGGTTTATGGCATCGCGGTTATTGGATGTAAAGGTTCCCCCCATGAGAGATGCCCAGGTCGCCCGCCTGACCGAGCCCACCCTCGCTGGGATTCCAGGGACCAGAGGCCTCCTGCAAGGCGGATGGCGACAGCCTGGCCCGTTGGCTCCTGTGCCCACAGCTAGATCAAGTGGCGCGGCTCAGGCGGCTGGAAGGCGCCCACGGAGAGAAACCGAGCACCATGTTCAGAAAGCTCCACTCCATCTTTAACTCGGGCCCGCAGAGGCAGGCAGAGGTGGCGGAGAGCCCTTATTGCGACCGAGCCTGCCCCGCGGTCAGGCTGATCCGCAGCAGCTCCATGTACGTGGTCGGGGACCACGGGGAGAAGTTCAGCGAGTCCTTGAAGAAATACAAGAGCGCCGGCAGCATGGACACCAGCCTGTACTGCCTGCAGCAGGAGGGGGACCGGGCGTGGCTGTTCTCGCGCACCCAGGACTGCCTGCAGTACCTGCAGGAGCTGCTGGCCTTGCGCAAAAAAATACCTCAGCGGCCTCGGCGCCCTGGGCGTCTCCTCCACCTCCTCCAAGTCCTCCAGGGGAGGGAAAAAGTCCACGTCCAAAGAAATAAAGGTAAGCGCAGCGGAGAAGTACGATCAGCCGCTGGCGCGGGTTGGAACCCGGCTGTTCCCCGCACAGCCTAACCCATCTGCGCGCGCGGGGCACTCTCCCCGGCCGTCCCCTCCGCCTGGGAAGGGTGGCCGGTCCCGTGCCGAGCTGCCCCGCGGGGGCCACGGGGGACCAGAGCTCCTGGCTCCCGCAGAGCAGCTGCGCGGAGGGCCTGGGCTTGGCGTCAGGCAGACTGTTCGCAGGGCACGTCTGCCCACTTCCTGGGGGAGAGAAGGCTTGTATGGCATTTGGGTGACGGCAAATCACTTCTCAACAAATGGTCGTTGCTCTTTTTACTGTTCCGAGCACCTCTGAAAGTCCCGGTGAAAAGTAAACCTGGGGAGGGTTTGCTGCCTCGGGACCATGGGCCCAGGTATTTGGCCCCCTCCCCCGGCAAGCACTGCCTTAGAAGGAGTCTGTGACTCGCAGAAGATTGAATGACAGCTCTGCTGGGCGTTGGAGGCTTCCAGCCCAGGCCCCCGCCCCTCCCCCAGCAGGAAATGAGTGAAAGAAAGAAGCTGCACTTATCTTGTCGTTTATACTCGTCACAGTGTTTGCACACACTGCCTTTCTTTGAGATACTTCCAATCATGCCCAGAGAAAAGGTGGGAGAAAGCCCCTCTGTATCGCAGGACAGCAAGCTGGGGCTCGGCGACCTGATTCTGATAAGATCCTCCCCGCCAAACTCATTGTTACTCATTCCTTGGTTTCCTCAATTAAAAAAAAAAAAAGCCTGAGGTTTGAGGCTGTTTTGTTTTAAATTCTCATCAATCGTTTTTCCAGTGACCGGGCTCTAAGGTATTTCAAGCAGCCTGTCTGTCCCACATCCTGGCTGCCTCCCGGCGTGTCCTGCAGGCCGTGCAAATCCCATTAACGCTGAATGACCGGCCTGCTATCAGATCTCTAGGGCTTGGCCTCACCCAGCTGGTTTCAACTGTCTGCATTTCATGCCAGATGGGAGCAGTTTCAGTCATCATCTTAACTCCAGAAGTATGTCAGTGTTGTGGCCGATACAGTGTCCTGCTCTTAGGTCCTGGTACTGACCCTGCAGCCAGCCAGCTGGAGATCTCTGGGCTAGTCACCCCTCCTTTGCAGCCACCTCAGAGGACAGAGGAGATTGCAGTGGCTTTTGGACTCCCTTCCAGCCTGAGTAGCCTGGCGCTCTCAGCTCTGGTTAGGTTCCCTCTGGACACTACACTTTCCTGCAAAATGGAGTCCTCTTTTTGTAGAACCTAGTTGCCTTCTTCCCTGCTTCCTTCCTATTCAGCATCTGAAGACAGAGGGAGGGGTTCGAGGCAAAGTGCCTGCTCTGGCCCTGGCCCAGTAGGGCTGGCTGTGGTGAGGGGCCCAGGCATGATGCAGTGGACGGATTTCCTCAGGAGATGCCTCTTACTGTGATGTAACAGGAAAGAGATTTTTGATTTGTTCGTGTTTTACTGAAGTCTAGTTGATTTACAATGTTGTGTTAGTTTCAGGCGTACAGCACAGTGATTCAGTATTTTTGCAGATTTTATTCCATTATAGGTTATCACAAGATAATGGATATAATTCCCTAATCTGTACAGTAAATCCTTGTTGCTTATCTATTTTATATAGAGTAGCTTGTATCTGCTAATCCCATACCTCTAATTTGTCCCTCTCCCCTCCCCTCTCCCCTTTAGTGACCCCTTTTGTTTTCTGTATCTGGGAGACTGTTTCTGTTTAGCACACACATTCATTCGTATCATTTTTTTAGATTCTACCTATAAGTGATATATAGTATTTGTCCTTCTTTGTATGACTTATTTCACTAAGCATCGTATTCTCTAGGAGAAAAGGGAACCCTCCTACATTGTTGGTGGGAATGTAACTTGGTGCAGCCACTATGGAAAACCGTATGGAGGTTCCTTAAAAAATAAAAAATGGAACTACCGTATGATCGAGCAATCCCACTCCTGTGTATATATCTGAAAAAAATGAAAACACTGATTCAAAAAGACACCTGCACCCCAGTGTTCACAGCAGTACTATTTACAATAGCAAGACATGGAAGCAACCCAAATGTCCATTGACAGATGATTGGATTCAGAAGATGAATCAGTCATAAAAAAGAATGAAATACTCCCACTTGCAGCAATGTGGATGACATGCTTGGTGAAATAAGTCAGGAAAAGTTTTAAAACAGCTTTGAGGTCAGTCAGACCAAGGCCTGAAATTTAGCTCTGTATTCACCGGCTGTGTGCCTTTGTCAAGGTGAGTTTCCCTCTCTGGGCCTCTGTTTCTGGAGCAACCTCATGGAAATAAGCATACACGTTGTGAGGAGGAAGGGGGAGCTGGCCTGTGACAGGACCTGGCACACACTATGTAGCCCAGCGTTCACTGCTCTGGAATGTAAGCTGCAGGTGGCTTGTCCGAGCCTCGAGACAGGCTGCTCTCCTACAGAAAGAGCTGTAGACTGGGTGGCCTGAAAAACAGCGGGGCCCCATCTCCGTGGCTAGCAAGGTGGCCTCCCCAGCTCTCTGTGCGTGGCAGGGGCAGGGGAACAGGAGAGCCCCTTCCTTCTGGAACATCATCACTATCCTTTGTTGGCAGAAAATACTTGCTGATGTTCAGATTTCGGGCAAACACCACTTTCTCCCCTGACCTCCTGTCATGTGGTGCATCGTGTCTCCCCCAAATCCTATGTTTCAGTCCTAATCCCCAGTACCCCAGAAGGTGACCTTATTTGGAAGTAGGGTGATTACAGATGTAATTAGTTAATTAGAGTGATCACAGGTTATTAGGGTGGGCCCCGAATCCAGCATCACTGGGACCTTCCCAAGCAGGAGAATTTGGGACACGTGCACGCACCCGGAGATAACGCTGTGTGAAGGTCGGAGTTGTGGAAGCCAAGAAACTACCAGAACCTGGTGGGGGCGTGGTGCAGGGGGCCTGGAACACATGCTTCCCTAGTGCTTTCAAAGAGAGCATGGCCCTGCGGACACCCTGATCTCAGACTTCTGGCCTCCAGAACTGTGAGAGAATAAACTTCTGTGGCACCTGGCGGCCCCAGGAACTGAATGCACCCCTCCAGAGAATTAGCCTTTTCTTTTCTCCAGCCTTAGTCTAAGCGCATCTCTGTTGTAGCATTTATCACATCCTATGCGGTTCTTTAACATGTGTGTCTCCCCTGGTGGCCTGCAGTGAGCTTGGTAAGCGTGACAAAGCTGAGACAGTATCTTTGTCATTTTTCTATCCCCAGAGCGTAGCAGTGAGTATTTACTCGTCACTTATGGATGCTTTATTAACTTTAAAGCCTGATGTCTTTTGTGCCATAGATCAGGGAACTGGCCTTCACGTAGGGAGTAAGTAGGGTTCCCGGGGTACCCCTGGAGGCCATCTCCTTCGGCAGATACCAGCCCCTGGCCTGGCCACAGAACCCAAGTTCCCCTGTCTGTCTCTCTCTGGGGGAAAAGGTAATGACTTTTAAACTCATTTTAAAAAAAAAGTTAGAAATATATTTTAGATATTGACCCAGTTTACCCAAATACACAACCAAAACAAAAGATTCATGAGATTGACTTATTCCTTTTCTCTGTTTAGTACTCTGATGATTTTCAAAGTATTCCATACTATTTTTTAAATGTTGGTTGTGATATACTAAATACATTTCACAAGCCACTGATGGTCCAGACCCACAATTTCTCACGCCCTGGAGTGAGGCACTCCAATAGGTCCCACTGAAATGCTAGTGGTGCCTAATGATGCCCCAGGGTACCAAATGGTCTGTTATCCCAGCCCCACCGAGGGATACTGAGAGCCTGGAAGGGGACCATGTGGGTGGATGGGAGGGCAGAGATGCGACCAGTCTGAGGTGGGTGTGGGAAGCCCCCCAGAGCCCCAACAAGGTGGGGGTCCTGGCCAGGTCCTGGGAGAATCTGTTCCTTCCTCAAAATACAGTCATTATAAAAATGAATGGAATGTACTTTTTGCAACATTTAAAAATCAAAACAAAAAAACCCGTATCTGAGGACTTGCATCGGTGTTCGGCTGCTCAAATGTTAGAATGGCCGACACAGGGCAAAATTCACGCGGCAGAAGGCCAGCGTGTTTGGAGTGGGTCTTTTGGACCAGATGCATGATCAGGAGGCATACTTTAAGCTCCCTCCCCTCCACAATCCAGGAGCAGAATCCCCCTCCGACTTGACACCTGCTTTTCACATGGCTACCCTCCGATTCCATTTTTCCTCTGCGCCTCTCAAGCACTGAAATGTTGAGTTTGTATTACCAGCTTTTGAACGAGGGAGAAGCTGGGGAAACTGTGAGCATAGCTACAAAAGGAACTACATGATGGGTAGGTACTGTGTCTTCAAATCATTTCAATGGAAGTACTTCTTACTTCCTAACTCATTCTATGGAGTGTCTGAGCTGAGTCACACACCCGCAGCAGAAGGTAGCAACAGAAATTGGAAAGTGGGGAGAGAAAAAGCATCCACAGAAAATCAAGACCATTAAAACAAACAAAGGAAAACCCTGCAGATCCGACAGCTGGACTTGGCTCTGCACCTCCTGCAAGCTACAGCGTACAAAGAACTGGACTCATTTCAGAATTCTGACTATCTGAGAATTAGAACCATACCCGTTGCTTAGAAAAAGCAAGACTTTGCCCAGCTTTAAATTCCCAAATTTCCATGCATGATGTGTTTTGTTAATGCCCTAATATTTTAGCAACAGTACATCAAGAGGTGTATCCTCCCTTCCTTCCCTCATCAACACACATTTACTGAGCACATAATATGCATCAGGAAGTCTTCTAGGTGCTGGTAAAGCAGGTCAAATTTCCTATTCTTGTTCCACAAGCACGATCGCTCTTGTATGAAAGCCAGGCAGGGACCCAGGACACAGATTCCTGGAGGCATCTCTCAGAGCCCCTGTGGGGACAGCCCAGGGCGTGGCACTGCACACATCTTAGTGACGGCCTAGGGCAGGGCGCCTGGTACCTGACT